TGGGCGCCACACTTCAAGAGGGATGTGGATAACCTGGAGAGGGCCAGAGAAGGGCCACTCATATGGTTAAGGGCTTGCAGGGCAAGCTCTACAAGGAGAGACTAGGGCACCTGGACCTCTTCAGTCTCCACAAGAGAAGATTGAGAGGCGACCTTGTGGCTGCCTATAAATTCATCATGGGGGCGCAAAGGGTATTGGTGAGGCTCTACTCACCAAAGCACCCCTGAGAGTTACAAGAAATAATGGCCACAAGCTAGCGGAGAGCAGATTTAGACTGGACATTAGGAAGAACTTCTTCACAGTTAGAGTGACCAAGGTCTGGAACGGGCTCCCAAGGGAGGTGGTGCTCTCCCCTACCCTGGGGGTCTTCAAGAGGAGGTTAGATAGGCATCTGGCTGGGGTCATCTGAACCCAGCACGCTTTCCTGCCTATGCAGGGGGTCGGTCTCAATGATCTATTGAGGTCCCTTCCAACCCTAACATCTATGAATCTATGAATCTTTCATAAGAGTTGCTGCCTTTATGGGTTATAGGTAGGGCCATTCCGGGAGGGTGAATCGGGGCAACTGCCCCGGGCCCCATGCTTTGGGGGTCCCTGCAGAGCTGGGTGGAGAGGCCATGGCTGTAGTTTAGCCCATCTGCCCACCCAGTGGGTTGGACAGCTCTTTGCCTGTTCCAGCCACCACCTGTCCCGCTGTGTCCGGTGTGCTGGGGCTTTCGCTCCATGGCATAAGTGTGCTGTGGGACAGGGAGGGGGGGCCCTACGCAGGCTGCTTTGCCCCAGGCCTCGCACCCTGCTGGGATCGTCTCTGGTTATTTCATCCCTTAATGTTTTCCTTAGTCTACGGGGAAATTTCTTTGCTACATCTTACTGTATTAGGGACTAAATGCTTTTACACTGTTGACGTGTCTAATATCACACACTTGGTAGGAAATTGTGTTGTTGGGAAGATGAATGCACCAGTCTTCTAGCTGTTTCAGTGTCTATGAGAACATGGAGCAGAAATAAAAACAGATTTTCTGCTAGGCTTTTGCTTGGTTGTAGCATATTATATCTTAATTCCACAGAATATCTGAGAGGTTGCTTATGATATCTTTCACTTTATTTATATGGGTAATATATACTAGATTCTCAGATAAACCTTCATCATTAGATCTTAAATATATATATTTGTGTTTTCATTCATCATCTGAGCCAGAGTGAATGAAGTCTTTTCAGTCTTTGGTTTATGCCTCCTATAGCACATGAGACCCGAAGCAATGGCCAGCCCAGGCCGGTAGCTTCCAAGATAGCCCAGATATATTCAGTTCAGCATGGCTATAGGCCCCCAAAAGAGCAGAATGCCATGAAATACTTCCCCTGTAAGATAACAAAAGCCTTACAGATTTGTGAAGACATGACCTGTACACCAGCTTAGAACATATTTTGCTAAAGTATTTCAACTAAATGGAAAAGAACACATTGCTCCTCCCTCAAAATGTCAGGGATCTAATCTAGTGTCCATCAGTGTCAGTAGAAAAAAGCTCTTTCTGTTGACTTTGATCACAGTAGGATTGAGATCTTAGTTTTACATCAACCTACAGTAAACAACCATGTATCACTGGGCAACCATAAAGGTGAATGGGGTTGTGTAAAGAGTAAGATTGGCATACTGAAGAAATACTAATGAGTATCAAACTCCATTTGATACCATCAGAAATGGGATGTGACATCTTGTGTCAGGAGTGATCATTTTATTCCGTCATGTTGCACAGTAGACATCAGTAAATCATCATGAAAACTTGGTGATATTGCCCTTCTCTTGGAAGGTGCTTGGTTGCAGTGACTGTGTCTCAGAGGAAGTGCCTACTGTACTGGAATTAACAAAAAATAATTCAATATTCAGTTGATATATTCTGTAGTTCATATTTTAAAAATGTTTTCAAATACAATTTTTCTAATGCATATTATTTGTGTTACTATTATTATTACAGCTTACATTCCTACTCCAATTTATTTTGGGGCTGTTATTGATACTACATGCATGCTTTGGCAACAGGATTGTGGCGTGCAAGGATCTTGCTGGGAATATGATGTCACATCCTTTCGTTTTGTCTACTTTGGATTGGCAGCTGGTCTCAAGTTTGTAGGTTTCTTTTTTATTTTTCTGGCCTGGTATTCCATTAAATATAAAGAAGAACAACTGCAGAGACACAGATGGAGGGCCTCCCCTATAAACACAGTGAGTGAGATGGTTGGCAATGCTGGACCTCAACAGAACCATGCACGGACTAGATCCTGCCCTACTTTCAGTTCTCATGGAGAACACAATGAAGGCATTAATTTGGCACGAGGAATGAATTGCATAGCTCAAACTTATCCTGGCCCCTTTTCAGAAGCAATAAATTCTTCAACTGAAAATGCATCAGAAGAAGTCACTGCTGAGATGTAAACCCCAGGCTTGGTAATGTAAAATTTGGTTTTGTTGGTTGACTTGAATATGGCGCCTTGTGAAACACCTGTGCCTTCTTTTTTAACCTGAACACAATACATAATAAACCAACAAAACTTAATGCAAGCAAACAAAGAATACTTGAGGGCTGGATACCTCAAAATGTTCCAAATTCCTATTTCTCCTCTCTGGATAAATGGATTTTTAATATCTGTGTTTGCAATTATTTTGGGTGTGTCCATTAAATGTTCATGCTCTGCATAAGGATGAAGTATTCTGAATTTCATGGGTCAATGGAAGAGTGACAGTCATTCATATAACTAGTCAGGACTGTGAGAAAAAGTTTAAATGTACTATAGATTTCACATCCATCATAGTTTTTAGAGATGAGTAATTACTGTGAGTTCTGCTACAAAGCACAACTGAACTTGTTTAAACTATGCAACTTATTTGGATAAATATGTGCAGCATGTTCATTTCAAGTTCGCTTTTAAAGATTTAAATTCAACTCATTTTGAAAAGGACTATTTTTAGACATAAATGTAAGATTTACAAAAAGACATGATGTTTAAGTCCTGTTGATAATATGTTAAGCCATAGAAAAGATGTACATCAGGTGAAGTTTTCGAATAATGAGACATAATATCCTTATCCTGTAAAAACGTATGTTTATTTTAATTTGATAGGATGTAGCATTTCTAAATGTAGTTTGCAGGCTATGAAGTCATAACTCTTGAGTGAAAAACTACAGTATTAGTTTGTGATAGCATTAAGACATAATAATCATATGTATAGGGGCTATAACACAGATTCATATTTTGTAACTACCTCTGCAGTTATCTGTTGTAGGTGGTTATTGTTAACCACAAATCCATATTTGGAAACACAGTAACCAGTTATATTTTGATTGGAAATGCTTGGTTGTAGTTTGCAAATGCATGCAGATCGTTTTAAATCGATCTCTAGCTTCCCACTAATTAGGTGAAAAACTTAAGACTTTTGAAAGCTGCATTTCAGGATTGACCTACTGCCATGCCAAACAAACCTCATATCAATAGCAAAGCAGATTTTTAAAAATAAAATCTTTGTGGATTGATGGCAGGGTCATACAAAAAATGGTTGGCATGTCAGCAAATTCTCTCCAGCATCCTGTCACTGATTGTGCCATGTTCTTTATGGAGTCAGACTCTGAGTCCAGAATCTTCCAGCAGCAGATTGAATTATCTGGTAAGCATATTCCTCACAAAAATATTGCATAATCTGTCCCTCATGGTTACTCATGTAACGCAATTTCATTTAGGGTTCTGTGAGGAAAATAGAAGAGTCAGCTGACTTTGCCCTTTAGGGGAACAAGAAGACACAAAAAGCAATTCCACACCCAGACCCACAGGCCATTACCTGGCATTTAACAATTCAAAATACGGTTTCAAGGAGGGAGGGGGAACATGTAAAAGTAAGAGATTTTTCCAATTTTATCTGCAACCTTTTATCTGCAACTAATTCTTCTTCTGCAACCTTAATCTGGAGACATTACAGCTACTTTCTGCCAGCATGTTAGCTATAATTTAATTTAATATAATTTCAGATGAGAAAAACAGCCAAATCTGTATTCTACTCTCAGGTGCACATTCTTAGGAAATTTGAATCAACTCCTCTGCAAGGCAGCACGTAGAAGATTCTGTCTTTTGTGAAGTTTGCATGATGATAAACAGGAGGAAGAAGGTGTTGTATGTACAGTAGAAGGAAATACCTTAAAATAGATATAAACAATTTCCATGTGGCTTCATGAAAAAGGGATTTTAATATAACAAAATATAACAAGTTCAGTGAAGGTCACATAGAATCAAATCCTGTTTCTATTGAAGTTAATGATAAAAAATCCTTTGGTATTAGTAGCCTCAGGCCTTGGCCAGTAGAGAAGATTCCTGTGTCCCTCTGTATTGCCAGTTTCCTCACAACTCTTCCTGCCTGTCTTTGACAAGCATGTGAAGACTCCCCATGCTGGCATCAGACTTGGGATGTATGTAATATTGTTTAAATGGCTACCCATTTAAAATCTTCTAATGATATTGGTTAAACAGTTAACTGATGACACATACCTAATGTGTGCGTGTGTGTTTACTTCACACTGCCCCATGTGCACGTGGGGCATGTTGTCCCCCACAGAACTTTCTGCCAAATGGAGCCAGGCACCCCCCTGTCTGGTGGCACCAGTATCTCCTTGCACCTTCCCTGTCTGCAGCCCAGGCAAGGACTTCCCTGCCCTTCCACCTTGTACTCGTTCTCCCACCTGTGCTAATTTGTGTGCAGGTCGGGGGGGTGGAGCCTGCCCTGCATATCTCCAGCCTTGCTGCTGACTGCACTGTGCTGCTGCCACCAGTCACGCTGCAGAGGGCCAGAGGCTGGCTTCCACCTGCCTCCTCTTGGCAAACTTGCAAGTGACTGATCCGCTGCTACCTGCCCTGGCTGGCATAGCACAGGTGCTTGGGGCCAGATGCAGCAGCATGGGGGTAAGTGGCTGGGGGAGGAGGCGGTGGCAATCCCTGCCAGACAACATGCCCCCCTCCCCAGTCCCAGGTCAGCAGCAAGCTGCAGGGAGAGGGAGGCAGAGGCAGAGCTATATGCTGTGACTAGCCTCCTTCCTGGGGCACTGTGCTGCTTTCCTTCCCTGCCAGACTCCATCCAGCCCTAAACATTAACTGTAATGCATTACTAGAATAAATATACTTACCATTTAACCTTTCACATCCCTACATCAGACCCTGGTCTAAATACTGATAGCTGTCTGTCTGTCTGTCTATCCCTCCATCCATCCATCCTAACCATTCTTTGGTTAGTCTGTAAAGTGCAAATCTACCTTGCTTTCTACTTGACTTCAGACTATCACAGCTAACTACATCTGTCTGAAATGTTGATTCCAGTCATTGCAGAGTGTCCTGATTAGTTTATCAGGTTATTTGGGTAGATGTGGTATCTTTTATTAGACCAACTGAGTAGTTACAAAAAACTTTTTTCCAAGCTTGCAGGTGCAATCACTGTTCTTCAAGCATAGGGAGCCTCTGCTGTGCTATACTGTTTGATTAGTTTGTATAGCTCTAGAGCCTTCAAGTATTCACAGAAAATAATTTCTTTCTACAACTAAGTATAGACAAATATCACTGACTAGTGACAACTAAGTCACTCCCTGTTATTCTTTTGTCATTAATGCTTATTGAAGCTAATAGGAAGCCCGAGAAATTTCTTCTTCTTGTTCAATATCCAGGCAGGTTATATCCCTGATGTAGAGGCTTGCTTTGGGATATGTAGTCATCTGCACCATCCTTTACAACTTATACCCATTGCTCCAGGAATAAACCCAGTCAGAGACTTGATGCAGAAATTATTGTGTGAGGTTCTTTCTCTTTGTTATTGTTGGAGTTCAGAATGGGTTATTAAAATGGTGACTCCTAGCCTTATTGTGGGAGACGGAGTGTACCTCCCCTCTTTCTTCTTATTAAAAACATCCTAAAAACTTTGTAGTGGTCTTTCCTTCTCATGTCCTTGTGACAAGATATTTAGCAGAATTCACACATTCCTTGGAATCTGACAGGGCCACACTGTGAATGTTTATATTATGGCCTCAAACATGCAACCTCTGGGTAGTCAGCCATATGAGTTAGTGCCCATACCACCCCAGCCCCCATTTAAAATGGTGAAACTAGCAAAGAGGTATAAGGGTCCTGCAACACACGTACTAAGATCTTGTCAAATTTAAGGGGAACAGTGACCTTTGTATAGACCAGTGCAGTGTAAAGTCAGGGCAGAATCAGGCTTCCCAGTATTGCAGCAGCAAATGCAAATTACAGAGTAAATCTCTTGTTCCCTTCTCAACGAGTGAACAAGCAGACACATCCTTCAACTATTGAAGCTTTTGGATTAATTCCAAGGAAACTAAAGCATGTTGAAACTGAGCATTTGTGCTCCATGAGCATTTCTGACCCTTCAAATTGTAATGAATTTCACAAGAAAAATTTTAAGTACCTTGTAAAACAAAATTTCTGGAAAAATTATTATAGAAAAACTGAAATCACCTTATTGAAATACTTCTTTTCAGCTGTTTTAACTTTTAATTTATCATTTACACAATGGTGAATTATTTTTGTATAAATTTAAAATGTTGTTTCAGTAATATTTTATAAAATATTAAGATAACAATAATGTATTCTCACATTCAAGTTTCATTTAATCAACATTCTCTGAAACAAAAGCCCTGTTCCCTTGAAACATTTAACTAGCTCTTAAAGACAGAAATCATGGTTTGAGGTGGTTTCTGTGAAAAGCAGTGTTACCTATGATTTGAGGCAGAATTGCCAGAAAAAAAAAACTTGCAGAAAATTAAATCCTGGCTGCCAGCACAGAGAAAGGGAGCCAAGATGGCAGCCACCCCCCCTCCTTCCATTGTTGATTGGCTGAGAGAGCTCCCTGTTGTGTGACCATGCTGATTCGCCAATCAGTGGTGAGGGGCAGAACCACATGAATGACAGCCTCCATGGCCAGTCAACGGTGTGGAGGGGCATTATTGCAAAAAACTATGAAAATGTTATCACCCGTCTGCCTCCTTGATTTCTGTAGGTCCCTATTTATAACCACCCTTAAGGTATCTGAAGACTGTTTTCAAATGCCCCCTCAATCTTATCTTCTTCAGGTTAAAATCCTAGTTTTTGTGGCTTTCTAGTTTTTGTGGCTTTTCTTTGTAAGTCATGTATCCCAGGCCTGTAATCATTTTCATTAGTCTTTCCAATTCGTCTGTATCTTTCTTGAAGTGTGGGACCTAGAACTGGAAGCTCCACCAGTTTTGAATAGAGTGGAAAGATCACTTTCTTTGATTTGCAAAATACACTCCTGTTAATACAACAGTTTGCTATTGGCCTTTTTTTGCAACAATTGCATACTTAGCTCATATTCTACTTTTGGTCTGCTGTAACAACTCTTTTTCTCTAGTACCGCACCTGGCCATTCATTCCCCAGTCTGTATTTGTGCATGGAATTGTTCTGTCTTAAGTGCAGGAGTTTGCCCTTAACCTTACTGAAATTAACTTGATTCATTGTTAAACCATTTCTTTAATTTATCAAGGACATTCTGAATCATAGCCCTACTCTCCAGTGTCTGCAACTCAACCAAACTTGGTGTAATTTGAAAATTTGCTAATCGTTTACTCAATGCCTTCTTCCAAATCATTAATTAAAATATTAAACTGGACCTATGATACATCCCTGGGGAATCCCTATTTCATCCCTCATTCCAACTGGACATTGAGCTATTGATCTCTACATGTTGAGCTCAATGATCCAAACAACTATGTATTCATTTTACCATACTTAAATGTAGTGAAGGGAAGCTATATTCGGAATGAGCTACAATAGCAGAAGGCTAGGTCCTGTCCTCCTGTGATATTAGTCTGCAAGGAATGGCATCAATCAGTGACATGGGAAGCTAGTTGGAATTCTGAAGTGCCATCATAGAGAAGCTGCAATTCTTTTCTCACAGTAGCCTATCTCCACTGACATCCATGGAGTTGCTTCTGATTTACATTGCAGTACATGGAAGGAAAAATCAAACCTAACGTCTGAAATTAGCAGACTAGACATCCATATAGTTTGTTTCCTTCAAAAGAAAAAGACAAGCAAAATGGAAACAGAAAATGAGAAAGAGGACAGTTAGAATCTATAAGTGTGATTCTTTACCCTTTGGAGTCCATTCTGAAAGTGTTGGCAGGGGGTTCAAAGACTACAAGGTAGGGCTGTACATATTTACAGATACAGACCCGATTCTCTACTCCCTTACATTTTGGGCTCATCTACATGTTGCCCTATGGCGACATAATGACACGCTACATTGCCTTACACTGCTATGGCAACATAGCAATCACATGAGTCTCTGTGGGATTGCTAGTTACGTTGCTGTAGTGGCATGCTCCCCTGGCATAGTGCGTCACTATAGTGAAGTAGCAGCGAAATCTAATCGTGTGCTGCATGCATGGCACAGTAACTGCCCTTAGTGCTCCATGCTTTAGTACTTCTAAAAGGAAGCACTAAAGCACAGCGCCATAGCAGCATTGCCATACAGTGACATGTAAACATGCCCTTTATGATGTTCTTTACTCCTGAGAGACTGGATATATATTGATGCTATCTGATTGGGTAGTACTTTTCACCCACTGACCACAGATGCCATGGCTACAGCACATGCATCAAGCAAAGAACCAGACTAGTGCTATTCTTATAATCAATTGGAAATTTTCAAAAATTAACATTTTTACATGTCCTTTTAGGCTAGCTTTGTACCCTAGTCTTATATTTTCAAAACTACAAACTCCAAAATGCACATTTCTTAAGATTAATATTATATAAATGAACTAGGTTGATATTTCCTAGTAGATATTTAAAATAGTTTGGAATTATAAATATTTGTTCATAGTGTTTAAAAAAATAGAAATGACAGATTGATTTTCTTCAAATATATGTACAATCTACAGTATTACACACTTATACAATATGGCCCTGATCAGATAAAATACTTTTAAGTGTGTGCATAACTTACACATGATTAATTTGCTTCAAGTTGTATGCATACTTAGTGCTAAATCAAACCCATTAGAGTATTGAAGGGAGTTCCTTTCTGCACAGAGTAACTTCCGTGTCAAGATTTTTTCTTTCATTGAATGATTTTTTGTAAGAAGAACAGCAGAGGGTGAACTCAGGAAAAATTCTCAAAGGCTTGTTATGCATTCAGTATTAAGGCACACATTTCATTTGCAAGCATAATCCATAACTCCAAAACGTGTTATCAGTAAGTAGATATCAATATGGTCATGCTAAATTTTGTAGGTGGTTATATGCTAGTTTGGACTAGAAATAAGGCAATTTTAACAATGAGGGTATTAAGCAATTTACTGATGTATATGGTAGATTCTTTGTTACTTGACTTCTTTAAAGCAAGTATAGCTGTGTTTCTAAACAATAGATTTTAGCCAAGTCAAAGCTATTGCAGTTTGAAACTCTATGTATTACATATGAGGCCAATCTAGATAAGCATAATGGCTCCCTTCTGACCTTACAGGCCATGAAACTATTGATTTAATTATATAGGGCTAGGTCCTATAAAGTTATAGGGCCAGGTCTTAAGCAGAATTTGGCCCTAAATATTACAAAAGTTCCGGTCTCTAAAACAAGATGCAGAGTTCCCTTTGCTCCAACTGATGTCATTCAGCAGCTTGTACAAGGGGGCAGTACTGCTTACAGGTTCAGGGCTCGATTCATCACTGCCTTGCTTCAGGTTCCTTCTGCAACTCCACTGCTGTCAGTCATGCCCCACTAACAAACCTGGTGATGACTGGTTCAAGGTGTCTTCTCATAGAGTTTTGGGGCCAACTTCTCAGCAACAGTAGGATGCTGGAACTGAGGATCATTGGATTGGATGCCAAAAGCTGAAAATCTAAGAAAGCTGAAGTGTTTAAGAACTGGTTGTGAATAAATGGGAGTCAAAATGACATCAAATGCATATTAGAGTTTGTTTTCTATTTACTCTCCAGTTTGTAATACTTCTGTGTAGAATGACAGCAAATATTTCCCTATCAAGTTTGTCCTTGTCCATTTTCCAATAGCACCTATTTTAATAGAGTCTGGTAAAGCCATGCTACGTTCTATGCGGTGTTTTGTTTCTTCACCAGCAACATAAATGATGAATCCATGCCAGATATTGATAGTCAAGCAGGACTCCCACTAGAAATGCAGTTTAGGTGCCTGCATCAATAGAAGATGGAAGGACATTTGCACATGTGAAGAATAAACCGATAATGTTTATAGGTACACTTCAGGTACTTCATATATGGCCTGAATTGTTAAACATTGTTCCCTTTAAAGTACTTGAATTAGACAGCCACAGCAGGATCTTAGCTTCATTCTCTTGCACAAGATTAGAGCTTAATCTATCACACAGGTTTTTAAAGGTTAAATATACCCACTTGCACTAAATATATCATACACATGCAGTACAGTCTCTTTAACAGAACTGTAGCCACTAATATGAAACATAATACTGTACAAACCTACAAATGCCTGTTTTTGAATTTGTAAGTCAATAGATAACCGTTCATGTAGCTTGTAAATGCAGATGACCCTAACTTCCAATGTTCAACCTGAATCCACACTTTCTTCAAATTTGGGGTTGTTACTCTTTAGTTCAGGCTCTTTTCTATTTCTAAAACTCTTGTATTATCAATTATTGTTCCCTATCAATTGCTCTCATCTCAAACCAGTTGTCACAAGATATCCAGTCACCATGTCTGGTTCAGGAGCTAGGTAAAAGCTTGCACATTGAAGGATGTCTGTAAGAAGCAGCGTCCAAAATATTTTTCACTTCAAGGAAGAAAGAAAATATATTTAGTAACCTTGATCAATTTTGAACATGCAGATGACTAAACAATACAGTAGTGCCAGTGAGTACAGAAGTATTTTTGATGCTTGATGACAGGAATGTATCTGATATATTCTAAACACTTCAGTGATATAACTGCCTGGGCATTGAAATTTGAATATAGAAATATTTCTGTAAATTCAGTGTTCATAATTACCCCAGGGCCAAATCCTACAAGTCCTCTGTTAGTCAACTGGTGAGAAGTTGCCTGTAGAAACGCCATAGGACTTAGTTGAGTATCAACAGCCAAGGTACTAATAGATGAATCAGCTGTAGAACTGCAGCATTATATGACTTATTAATTTTCATAAGATGTTATTTTAACAGCACTGTTAGATGTTGAGAATTAAGTTGATAGGAACTAAAAGAAAACAAAACACTGCGCAAACTATGGGGCTGCTTCTATAAATTTCCTACTGCAGTCTATGAGAATTTTACGTTAAGGTTTTTAAGTTTGGCTTGATATTTCTGGAGGAATTATAATGGGCCAAACTCGTATCCCATTGGTAAACACAGGCCAAATTCAACCGGAGCTTTTGCCATTAAATTCTAGGGAGAGAAGATTTGGCCCTTAGGTTTTTGCATTTGGAAAGGTAACACCTTTTTTTGAATTAGAGCCTGTGGACTGAATGGAAGTAGTTCAGTATATATGACGCACACTAGATTGTGCAAGTGAGATCGATGGGACATGCCATTGGAGGAAAAAGTATTTTTAGGAAACAAACATTATTGCCAAGATGTATTCAATTGAAAAGTTGTACCAAAATGGACAATGAATTTCAGTTTCTGTATAGGAATGTAATTACTAAGGGTTTTTTTTAAGACATTTCTCATTAAAACTTGTACCTATCTCCTTTGAATTAAATGGGAGTTTTGCCACTGACTTCAATAGGAAATGATCCACAATGCATATTTCTACCAAAAAGATTAACTATAAACATCAAGAGTCTGAGCCATAGCTTAGGAGCATGGAATGGTCACACTGTCTATAACTGTTTAGCTAAAAAAAATATATATTGAATAAATTGGGCTTAGGTAATTTTTGGTGTGTATGTGAGTGTATGAGTGAGTGCACAGGTGGGTTGCTTATGGTGAAAAAGACAAGTTGCTGAATGCATTTTTTTCAGACTTTTAGGTTCCTTTTTTGAGGTTTTTTAATTGTATTTATTTCTCTGCAAAGCGTAGAGTAATTTGAAAGATGTATCACACACTATGTGTAATGGAAGCTACTGTTAACATCTATTGTAAACATGAGTTTACAAGCAAACCCTTTAATACTTGATATGTGAAAATAAAAATAGCATATCCCGTGTCTTTTATTTATGACCCAAAAAACCCTGCACAAAACCCTTCAGTCTGTGAGTGCTGGAGTGCAGCACTCTGTGTTCCAGAAGATGGAGGATTTGGTTTGAAGTAAGACTCTGCGCAAGGTCCATTGAAATTAATAAAAATCTTTCCATTGGATTTAGTGGGTGTTCACTCAGCCGGATCCTGATCACACTGAAATTGAAGCAGAATGGATAACCTTTGACCAGTTGTACTGGACCAACTTTGACCAGTGTTAAATATTGCATCGGTGATACTAAGACGGGGACATGTAACTTCCCTACAGTGTAGTGAAATGTTTGGGTGATTTGGGGAGTGGGGAGGTGGGCAATGTGTGCAGCAACCCCACCTCCTAAGCTCATTGTGCACGTGCCACACTACTGAAGTGGGAGGGGAGAAATGCAAGTGCGCCCTCTGCACCTCCCTTGGATCCATTTCTAGTGTAATACAAATGCAAAATGGCCAAAATCAACCAAGAGCTGATAAGCACATGTTTCCATGGGCTAGCTGAGCTTTAATAAGGGTATGAGAACCAGGTCCTCAATCTGCTGTACAGACTCAGGCTTATGTGGACAAATTAAACTGATAACATTAGCTGTAATTGCATGAAGCCAGCAGAAAAGTATGGAGGCAATTGTCTGTTTTCATCTCCGAAATAAGACTTCTGTAGTTTCACCTCAAAGACCTGTTATTAAGAAGCAATATAACAGCTAAAGAATAAACACTGTATTTGCTGTAATTCAAGCTCTAATCAGATTTCTGGTATATGGCATTATCAAGGGTGCAGTTGCTACTTTAAAAATCAATAGAGGAGGATGGTCTTGGCAGGGGTTGAGACTGCTGCGGCATGATGTGCTCACCTTTCTGGAATGGGAAGTTATTGTCTTGCTCTACAGTGACATCTACTGGCTGATGGGAAGAAAATTAACTAAACTTGCAATCCTGAAAACCACATCTAACCCTGGAAGCATTGAAGCTACCTAGATGCCTCTACCTGCCAGGCTTGGAAGCCTTACTCCTGCATATATGCACCAGCATCTGGATTTTAACAGGACTGACCAGATCAGCCCCTAGTTTACTCCTCAACCCAGCTGAGACCCAGAAAATAGTCTTTCCTCTGCCTAAGTGCCTGCAGGGCGTGAAACACTAGGCACTTGGAGTATACCTAACATGTCTCCCTGGTATAGGGTCCCATATAAAATGAAGTAGTGGCTGCTTTTTTTTAAAACACCAGGGGAAGAGGAGGTGGTACCCCTGGTGCTATGGGACCCCTGCATGGATCACTTGTCGGAAGTGGAAGAAGGTTCAAGCTTCTCTACTGCCTTCTTGCTATTTTTGCCCCCATGAAAGCATCCTAACCACAAAGCTAAAGTCAGAGTGCAGGTTCTAGATATGACACCATTGCTTTCAGTGAAGTTATGCCAGCATAGAACTGGAGGTCTAAGGTCTCTTAAAAGAGTTTGGAGCCCAAATTCTCAGCCCCTGTATACTGATGTGGCTGGAGATCTGGCCCATTAAATGGACTGCAGCCCCCCCCAAACTGGGTATTTAAGAAAGCTGAAGCATTTAAAAATCTGGCTATGAATAAGTAGAAGTCAAAATGACATCAAAGGCACAGCTAGCATTCGTATTTATTTGGTCTCCAGTTTGGTCCAGAAAGAATTCAAGATGTGTGTGGCCATAGAAATAGGATAATCACCTGGAAGAGAGGCAGCCATGGCATCTGATCCACCCTCTTAAGTCTACTTCTGTATATTATCCAATGTTTTTTTCCAAATAGAGTAAGGACAAGAATCCACATTTCTCATTCGTCCTGCT